CCCTATTGAAATCCAAAGAATGGTAAAATGTATCTGTAGCATTTGCATTGCAACCACAGGCAATCATCAGGCTTGAATTGCTATTGAATTGGAAAGGATGGCAAAAACATTATGGTAGTATTATAATGAATCTACACTGGGAGCAAACTTCTTTAAAGCTTGAAGAAGTGTTTTCAAAGAAGTTTTCAATCCAGAAATTTTTTCACCATGATTGTGTCCTTTCACCCCCCTTTTCCATGTCTACACTGAAAAATATTTGATGAACTAAGCATTGCACCAGGACTAAATATGAAGATATGAAAATAAACAAGATATGCCAATGATATTGTGATCCTGGTAGAAAAAGAAAAGAACTTGGAGCTTCTAATTGAGAATACAGCAGGTGAAAACTTTGGATCATATATAACAGGGGTCCCCAACTGTTGGCCACCAGACTGCGGAAATGACTAGTAATGTGCATGCACGTGTGCGTGCACCCCCACTCATGCTAGTGCCACCGCATGGGTGCTAATAGCTCCATTTGCACATGCGTGGGGGTGCTAGCAGCACTGCCAGCATTTCATGGGTGCTAGCAACCCGCTCATGCATGTGTGTGGACACTAGTGCTGCTGCAGTGCATGTGCCAGTTTGTGCATGTGCATGTGCACACACACACATTTCCCTGCTCCTCCCTTTCCCTCTGGGCCGCCAAGCCAAAAAGGTTGTGGAGCTCTGATATATAAATATTTTTTAAAAAAGAGAAAAAAATATCCAAAATTTAAATCAATAATCTATAATGCGATTCTTAAACAAGTCAAGAACTGTATTTATCTTGGACACTTGTTCACAGAAGATGGAAAAACAGCTGGTGAAATAAAGGAAAACTTTTCTAAGCATGAAAAATATTCTGACCTCAAGGAAAAAATTAAGAATGAGAATGATTAATTATAACATCTGGTTAATTTTTCTTTATAACTGTGAGACGTGAACCATATTTAAGGAGATTTTGAAAAGTGGCATTTAGGATGAATAAAAAGATCAAATCCTCAAGTCCAAGGGATGGCATAGGAATAAAGAAGCCTCAAAAAACTATCAAAGAAAGAAAATAGAGACATTATTGGGTCATATACTCAACTCTATAAAAAGATGGTTAGAAGAAATTAGGGTAAAGAAAACAAAGCAATGGACTAAAAAGACATTTGGAATAGCAATATACATATATAAACTGGACAGGTCTAAATTATGAAGATTGTGGCAGACTTGGGGTTTTGCTTAATCTCTGAATGCCCTGAAATATCTTTCTGGAATCAAATCTGAAGTATTGCGCAATCCTAATAAGAAAGACGTCAGATTCTCTGACAGCTGCCTAAAACCAAAAGTAATTATTTTCCAAGCAAAGTTCTATTGAGAATACAATTCTTATAAAGGCTAACTTATAAAGGCTAACATGATTCCAAAGAAGCTTATTTGGTCTCTTTATTTGTACTCAGATTCATGACCAAGACTTATGTCAGTGGTGGAAGTTACAGAACAATGGTGTAGCCAATAACAACATATGTGTATCAGAAAGCAAATTTAACCTGTTGTTGTCTTTCATCCTCAATAGCCTACTAGAATGCTTCCTATAATTTCAGCTCATCTTTATTTATTTTTTCTGGAGAGTGTGACATGACATAATTACTGGATAAAGCAATGAGTGTTAGTCAGTTTCTTAATACTTATTCTGCCCCTGCATATACTCCTCAACCTCCCCAACCATCTAGTCAAGTGTAGCAGGAGTCTAGCAAGCATCTCAGTTGTGTTCATGAGACTATTTGCTGAATCTCATGTAAACTTGTAATGTACACCCATTTATTTCCTGTTTGCTGTCTCCTTGTTCAATAATTTCAACAACTGGCTCCAAATTGTTGAGCTGAAGCAATTTAATCATGCTCTACTGGGAGGCATAGTCTCTCCTAAGCCTGTAAACTAATTAGTGCTGGGCAAAGGTTACAAATGGACTGGTTTCAAATTCATTATTAAAATAAAATGACACAAGTGTCATGACTTTCTTCCTTCCCCTAGCCACAAATCATTTAATAGAGAACCAAGCAGACAAATCTTAACAGTGACATCTTCAAAGAAGTTTCTCTGTTAAATAAGCTTTTCTTAGTAATTTAAGCTTTTTACAAGCGCTTATACAGTATGATGGTATGGTATAGTGTTCCAGAAATTGTTAAAGTTTGGTGAGAAGAAGGATTAAAGTAAAGACACATAATTATGCCTGTTACAATACTGCAATTTTGATACACCAATAATACAAAAATGTGTGCAAATGATAGAATATACTGACCTTGTATCAGTATCTGAATGTCAATATATTATTGCTAGCATAAAATACTAAACAATATTTTGCCATGGGGCAGTGGTAACCTGTAGCTTTGTATAAATAGAAAGAAGCCTAAAAGGCAGAAAAGTTTCTTCAGTAAGATTTCATGTGAAAAATAAAATGAAAACTAGACACGAGAAATAAAGTTCTCATGAGAAAAGATGGTTCTCAAAATAATAGATGGACACCATATGAATTGGATGAGGCAATAGCATCCAGAATGAGAAAAATACCAAGAGCACTGGTGGGCTTGCTGGAAGGTGTAAAAATATATGGGAAATCTTTGTAATCATTACATCAGATAAGATACATGAACAATAGTGTTCCTCCTCAAGTCTTCTGGAATTCCAACTTAGTCTGGCCAGTTAGACTAGGGGTCTTCAAACTTGGCCCTTTTATGACTTCTGGACTTCAACTCCCAGCACTCTGGTTGAGGAATTCTGGGAGTTCCACAAGTCATAAGAGGGCCAAGCTTGAAGACCCCTGAGTTAGACTTTCAATTGGGTAGGTGTGAAAGATGTGCAAATATGGATTGGGTGAAGCTTAGTTTCTACAAGTCTCAAGAGAAAAAAAAAAGCAGTATTGGTACTGCTTTGCGGTCCTCATGGTGAGTGAGAACTGCAAGGGAAAATATATCTCATTATTATTAGTTTGGAGATCTCCCAAATCTTGATAATTATTTCTCCTACATAATATAAAAACAAATTGAACGAATTGCTTGTGACAAATAAGAATAACTTCTAGATAAGTTGTTCAAAGAACTAAGGTTATCATTTCTATAGAACACAGGCATCTAGCAAAAAGTTGTTTGATTTGTAGGTAGGTAAGCAATTCTGTGACCTAGTGATTTTTCTGGACTAATTTCCAGGCTAATCAAAATGTCCATTTATAAAATCACCCAAATTTCCTTTAAAAATTCTGAATAAGCATTTAAACCAGTAACTCTCTTAAAATATTCAATATGGCAATACCAATTCTTGGTCCTGGGTGATTCAGAATTAAGTATTTTCAGCTTCCTGAAGACAACATGAGATACAAGGGGGAAAAAAGGATTTTTATTTAAAACCAGCAGTGAAAAAAAAGAAAGATTATAATGAATTGACATCTGGATGTGATTGGTAAACCAGCCTATCATTAACAAGCACTTGTATTACCATTGCCACCTGATTTTGTTTAAACAATAGGCAACAGAGCAGAAAATAAATTCCATGTATATTCATAAATAAAACCACATTGGCAGCAGTATCTTTAACTAAAGGGCAATGTTCATATTTATGTGCATACATACATTTAAAAATAATAAAAAAGAGGATCAGAACCATCTTCTCAAAAGCAAAAAAAAAGTAATCTACTCCCTTAAATTGAGCACACCATGATTTAAATAAATTGAACTAGTTAAAACATGTTTTTATTCTCAGGATAATTTATTTTGATTTTGCAGACCCTCAGCTTCAAACAATAAATGCAATAGAAAAAAAAATGAAAAAAATGTAAGTCACAAATTCTATGAAAAAAATAGGCACTGCATTCAGGATGAGGACAAAACTATTTGAACCAGCAATAGAATACTATTGGGCTCTGACTGGGGTAGAATGGAACAGTTTCAATGACCTAAATTGTGTGTTCCTAGTAATGTATTCCAAGATGGTATTTGAATTTTTAACAGCTGCATCACACTGCTGCCTCATGTTTAATTGGTTGTCTACAAGAACGCCCAGATCCTCTTCCTATGTACTATTGCCAAGCCAGTTCTCCTCATCATACACATGTGGCTTTTATTTTGCAGAACTTCTTGTTACACTTAAATCCATTTTATTCATTTCAGCCTACTGCTCAAGCCTGTCTAAATCTTTTGGAATCCACCACTTCTCAAGTATTAGTCATCCCTTCCAGTTTTGTATCATCTGTAATGATACAAACACTGTTGTTCAACAACACTGGGCAAAGGGAGTAGCCCTGGGACGTTCTACTCAGTACATCCCTCAAGCTGAAATTAATGAACAGACTTTGAGTGCAGTCATTCTGCAATCATCTAGACCCTGCTTTACCATTTTAGTAAAGAGAACATCTTGAGAGATTTGTCAAACGTTTTGCTGAGGGGCAGGTACGCTATACTTCCTAGATCCCTTATCTACCAAGCTAATAAAGTGGTACCTTGGTATTCGTCATTAATTGGTTCTGAGAGGTGCTATGAGTACCAAAATGTATTTATTTTCTTTAAGAGCCGAGGTGGCGCAGCAGTTAGAGTGCAGGACTGCAGGCCACTTTAGCTGACTGTGTTCAGCAGGTCAGCGGTTCAAATCTCACCAGTTCAAGGTTGACTCAGCCTTCCATCCTTCCGGGGTAGATAAAATGAGGACCCAGATTGTTGGGGGCAATGTAAATATATATATACATTGCTTACTGGTATACACCGCTTAGAGAGTGCTTGCACTTAAAACGGTATATAAGTCTTATAAATAAATAAATAAATAAGAACTGAAAATTTAGAATATTTTTATTCTAACAATTTATGGGAGACTCGTTGCACTAACATCTCATTGTTATGAACAGGATGTATTCTTCTTATGAAGTTTTTGGAGTTATACCTCTCATCTAAAAGAAAAGTTACAGTTAACAGGCAAATATTTTTTCAAATATAATTTCCACTTACCCAGTTGAAGGGTTCATAATACAGCCACCTTTGTCTGCAGTTGTTTTGCAGTTGCAACCTCTTTCCAGTGTATCGTGGTTCATACCAAAATTGTGGCCTAGTTCATGAGCCAGAGTTACTGCTGCCCCCAATGGATTGTCTGCATGATCCTAAATAGAAAGCACAGAAATTGAGAAAATGAATCCCATTGTATTACTGTACCAGATATAATTTGTATTATTACTGTGACACTTGCTGTTTTCCAAATACATATTTGCCTTATCTAATTAGGAGTTATACATGCAAGTAGTCTTGTAATACTGTTTGAAAGGCAATCATCTGAGGCAGTAATAGAAAACTATTTTTATATCAGCAGTTATCAATGCAATTTCATAGATATTGTTTACAGAAAACATAATAAAATTATTAAAGAAAATGTTTATAAAAACATACTCTGAAAAGCATGAATTAGATTAGCAGTATACAATATTATTTGAAATAATTTGCAGTGTGAACGGGATTTTTTTCATTGTTGCATTTCAAATGGTATAACATCCAGTTCCTGAGCCTATTTCAGGTTTGAAAGATACACCATGTTGACCTGTTATGCCTATGTACACTATGTAAACTCGTGTAAAGCAACCAAAAATAGCTACTGTACAAGAGAAAACACCAAGAACAATGTCTTCTAGGGAGAAGGTAAAAGTCCTAGAAGTGGGATGAGATGAAACATTCATGCTCTGGGAAGCTGCCTACTAAATAGTTTCAGAGAAAACACTGCAAAATTATTTTTGCATTTCCACAGGAACAGTAGGTGTTCTGATTAATTTTTGAAGCCTTCAAATTTCTATAGAAGCCCAACTACATCATTGCAACAAAGGGCTACGGTGCTGATTGATGCAGCTCTTATGAACTGAAAGGGACTCTGTGATGTAGATGCATCTTCCTATTCATGGTCTACACATGAATGTGTAGCACCGATTGAAACAAAACGGCGACCTGGCTAATGGTCCATTCAAACAGAGACAGAACTTTCACAATGCTTTAATGTAATGTTTTAAGGGTATCACTTTATATAATGATGTGCCTTTCATGAATGGTAAAACAAACAAAGCAATGCAAATCCACAAGTAAATCAAACCTAAGTAATTAATCATAAAATATTATGATACAAGAAATCATGTAAGAGCTTGGCATAAGTACACATTTTCCAAAACCTTGGTAGAAAGCATATTTTCCTTTCATTACATGTATAGTAATATAAATGAAGTGTCAGTTTTCTGTGTAAGTGCTAGAAGAACTCTGTGGTCAATAAAAGTAAAGGTAGCATTAAGTTCTTCCTTTTTTTTTACAATTATATCCCAGCAGAAACTCATTTCAATGACTGACATCTTGACTCAAACACTTACATGACAACCTTTCCATAATATTCTACCTATTTCACTGCAAAACTGATCTCCTTAGACCCCTTCCCCCCAAAATGAATTAGACATATAACATAAATGAATGCTTGGTTATCAGTCAGTAATTAGTACAGGTATCTTTTCTAAATGTCCATTCTTCAAATGATTCTTCAAACTGTATTCTTCAAAAACTATTATTTTTGATCATTTGAATAAATACAATTACTTGAAAGTATTTCATCTAGAACTTTATGATAGTAATTTTAATATGCTCAGTTGTGCTGATTTGATCTTGAAGTTTTTTAGAGAATGAAGTTGCCCAATATTATCTTCAGTTGTAGTTTTTTTGGGGGTTGTTAGTGGTGTAAGGTACTGCTTTCCCTGCTCATTGTATTGCATTGAATAGGATCTGTCATGATCTTCAGGGCTATGTTACCCATGGACCCAATCATCAACCCCATAAAGAGGGAAAGAAGAGATACCAGCATCACTGAGGCTACTAGTTTATGCTAAGTTAGTAAATTCTATTTATAATATCTATTTTCACTATAACTACTTTCTTTGTCTATAGACAGCTGTAAATCAAGTGAAACCAATTTCTCTTTTAAAATACTCAAATTATACTTGTATGTTGTAAACCATATTAGGTAATATTTAATATCCTGTGCAGCCAGTAAGGGAAAAAAAAACATGGCAGAGAAACCACGGGATCCTGAACTCTGTTTGACTCTTGTCAGGCTGAAAAAGAAATGAATATACAGTACCAGTTTCAGGCTAATAAATGTTTTATTCCCCTCAATATATCCCATGAGCCCCAGTGGCTGAAGCATCACAAGAAAGATTTTTCAGATATAACTTGGACATGGCTCCAGAGCCCCTCTGGAGGACTGTATTATAATTATAATCTGAATCATAAACTTGTTTATGTGATGATAGGGGAAATTATGAACTACTTGGGAATAATCACATTTTGGGAAGAATGGGTCAAATTCTCCCAAGATAGAAAAATTGCACACCTCTAACTTGGGGAGATATATGTAGTATTAGAAACTCTGAATTCCTGATATATTTAATAAACAGTTGTTAATATTATTATTCCTTATATTAAGACATATAGTGAAAAATAATATTATAAAGTGTCTCAACTTCAACTACAAGAAAAGGATGAAGAGATATTGTTACGTAGTTTTTCCATTTGTTTTGGATATGTTCAAAAATAGTAAACTTTATTTTAAAGAAGCAAACTAAGCCCCAAACCATACTTCTAGATTTTTCTTTAATGTAAGAATGCTCATAATCTTAAATATTCATAGAAGTAAATAAAAGCGAAGAGAGAAAAGCAACGAATGATACAGGTTGAAGACAGCACCATTATCATCAAGTAGGAAATCAGAACTATTTGATGCCTTCTGACTACAGATTTAATAGTTATCTAGACCAAATTCTTCAAGGCAGGAAGTTCCACACTGCAGCCAAATTATTGCACAAAAACATTCTAAACAAACAATTGAAAACTTCCATGTTAATGAGAAAATTACAGGAAGCCAGAAGAATGCTCATGTTTTCTGGTCTGTTTTTCCCCCTTCCTTCCATTTTTAAATTGTTTTCCCCTGTCAACTGTTTTTATAATACGTTTCCTAATCATCAACCTGAAATCATCCATGACTACAACCACTTAGGATGACAGAACCCAAGATTAGGATGATTTCAATGAGATACAATCCTTAAAAGTTTACAAGCAATCAGGTTTTGAGAATCAAACTGAACCATTGTGCAGTAGAGCCATTTCCACTATCTGGTTTTGCAGTGACCTTAGAACTGAATTGTTATCAGGGTTATCTGCACAGGAAGCCAAAATGTTAAGAAGCCAATCAAAGTCTTGCTCCTTTTTTATATTTGCTTACATTTATACAGGGTGCAGAGCAATGATTGCCCCCTCCTTCCAGGTGCTATTCTGTCTTAGCTTAAATCTCAAGGAAAATTAGAGAGCAAAAGACAAAAAGACCAGGTCAAAGAACAAAAAAATTAAACACTTGAAACAATTTTAAGGTGTACTACAGGATTCAAGACAAAGTGTTCCAGCATATGTATTGAGGTTCAGAGGGTTAGGTTGGATTATATTCCTCGAAGGACACTATCTTTTACATGAGTGTATTTAAGTATCTCTAGTGTTGCATTCTCCTAAAGTTCTCCTTTCAACCAACTATAAGTTAAGCTGCTGTCCTTCCTATTTTGCAATTCTACATGCTTTTAATTTCACCAGTGAATATGGCCTTTTGTAGGCAATATATTTTGCTTTACTTAATGGCAGCCAACAAAAAATGGGGCAGGGAGTTTATTTCACAAAACACTCTACAACTGGATTCTCCTTATATCACTATTGTATGTATATTGATCAAATAGCAGGGTTGCTATGCTGTCACCAGAATATGTGTTATGACACTATTCTCACCAGTATGAACAGGCTTTGTGCTAAATGCTACTGACCAGTTCTTTCAAGTTGTTTTATAGAACAAAATCTACTGGCCTGGCACCAAGTACTCTGATTTAATGAGTTGGTGAGCTACAGCCAAAAGATTCCATCATTCTTCCTTCCTAAGTTTATTAATACTATCAAGCTAACAGCAAATGCAAATAAGTGACGCTATTGGCAAGGGAGTTTTTAACTGTTGTGTCTCCATCCTGGACTGGTTTTCTAAGGCCACCTGATGGCCCCTGACTTCCCAAGGGTGACCACACTGTGCCAAACTTAGCCGGGTGCAGCTCCATGCAGACTCTTGAGCTCTTAAATTACTAGACTTTACCTCTACAATAGCTTACAGATTTGCACCATCCCATCCAGCTGGTGGGCAAAAAATAACAATCATTGTGCAGCTGCTGGGATAGCTAATTATGTTCCCTTTTTCTTCTGTTCTTTTGTTTTTATTGTTGTATTGCTTTACCATTTGGCGCAGTGCATTTTGTTTCAATCTTATCTGTAGTGTTTAGTTTTATTTATTTAAGGTGCACATATGCATATCCTGACAATACTGAGAATGGAAAGGACAATATTATGCAAACATCCCAAGCACTCTGATTTCTGCAAAGCCAACAAAGAAATTTTTAAAAAACAATATTTTCCTTTAAAAAGCAATTAGTAAGAAGACAGCAAACAAGGAAGACAAATTAAATTCTTTTCCAACAGATACAATGTTTCTGGAATGGGAATCAGTGCTCAGAATCGTAGAAGCAATGTATAATACATTTCCTCTTTTCTTTCCTGGAAGAATGATCACAAAAGAACACATTGTTTTCTGCTTCTCTAGTTTGTTTTGGTGGATACAGTTAAATGCCCCCTAATCATATCTTGGAGATCCTTCTCCGTCCTTAGTGATGAACAAGAAAAAATATTTCTGAAGGAAGATGTAGCTGTAATGTAATAATGTAATAAACTGTCATGGTTATTTATGGAAATTAGTAGCAGTAAAACAAAAAGTGTAGACTTGTTAAAGTCTTACATCCACAATGGAATCCACAATGGAATCTGGAATTTTGGTCATAAGTTATTGCAGAGACCAAAATCAAGTCTATGATTTTATGACTGTTTTTATGATGATTGTAAAGTGAGGTCAATGGTTTCATAAAATGAATCTCCTAGTTATTAAACAAACCATGTGGTCATTTAGTGAATCCATTCTTCTGAATGGGTGTTTTTTTACTGGAGACCACAAAACAAAGTTTTTGCTGGAAACAGGCAAAAAGCGCCAGAAACAAGTAAAAAACAATGC